GAAAGAGAGAGAGAAAGAGAGAGTGTGTAACTGGAGTGGTGTAGTCGTTTGTAGTGAAAAGTAAAATCATGTTGAGGACAAATTTGCCCCTGAACTGCACCTGACCTTCTAAAATTAAAATCTTTAATAATTATAATCATTTTTTAATATAATAAAAATAGCTGTTGTTCTTCAAATCAAAAATTCTATTAAACCCAGGCTGTGTTGAGCGTCCGAGAGAGAGAGAGAGAGAGAGAGAGAGAGAGAGACAGAGAGAGAGACAGAGACAGAGGGAGAGACAGAGGGAGAGAGACAGAGACAGAGAGAGATTGGAGGGGATGTCATCTTGTTTGTAGTGAACATATGATAATGATAATATTTAATAATAATAGTAATAATAATAATTTATAATAATAATAATAATAATAATAATTAATATAATAAAAATTGCTGATGTTGTAATAAAAATTCCTGTTAAACCCAGACTACGTTGAGCGTCCGAGAGTGAGAGAGATAAAGAGAGAGAAAGAGAAAGAGAGAGAGAGAGAGGATTGAAGGTGTGTCATCTTGTTTGTAGTGAATATATAATAATAATAATAATATTTAATAATAATAATAAATATAATAAAAATAGCTGATGTTGTAATAAACATTCCTATTAAACCCCGTGTTGAGCGTCCAAGTATGTGTGTGCGTGTGTGCGTGTGTGTGTGTGTGAGAGAGAGAGAGAGAGAGAGAGAGAGAGAGAGCTTGGTGTGGTGTCATCGTATTTGTAGTGAAGTGTTAAATGATGTTTCGTGCCATAACGATCCGTTGAGGACATTTCAGTATTTTTAAGAGAGACTATATCACTACCCTTATAAGTATCTGGGGATGGTCATGGGTTGATTGCAGTTTTTGATAGTTATGTAATTATTTCATTAACAAGTCAAATCAATCTGGGAAGGTCGCTCACCGAACAAGAAATGAAAATCACTGGAGAGTCATCGATGATAAAAAGTGAAATTTGATTATTTAATCATCGAATTTTACAACACTTGACTTAAAGTCAATTTAAAAAAAAAAAGATCTCAGAACTCTGAATATGTGTATTAAAAAAAAAAAAAGAATAAAGCTCTTACCTTGATAAGTCTAACTTGTCCCTGGGATGCCACGATCGGCGATGGTGAAGAAACCACAGTAACATACATTTAGACCAAACACACTGCCGTTAACCTAAGCAGAAAAATCTGTAAAAGGTTATGTACATCGTAAAACTTGAGAGAGAAAAGATGAAGGAGGAAAAAGAAAAACCACATGACTTGAGGTATCTATATCAATAATTCTCAAAATGTGTGTGTGTGTATGTATATGTGTATGTATGTGTGATCGGATGTTGTTTATGCATTTCCACAGTTTTCATCCGATTTCGATGAAATTTTGTTTGTTTCATAGATAATTCTTCAGTGCCGGTTTTGAGTCCAAATTACACATTCCCCTTCTCTTGGCCAAGCTTCAATCTCTCTCAAGTGAAGTTACCTTTCCCACTGTATAAAGCCAACTACTACAATTTTAAAGCATTGCTTTCATTGTTGTCCAATTTAATTTTTTTTTTATTGTTCTGTCAGTTTTTGCATTGCATTCACCGTAGTAAGCTCGCTTTTTTTTAATTACTCAACATTTATTTTTCCAACCTTTCCTAAAGTTATTCGAACTTAGTGATTCCTGTAGCTTTACAACGTCCTCTTCTGGGATTTGTCCATGCATTCCATTTGACAATTTATACTTGCCTAAGAACCATGCCAACAAAGAAAAGAACTTGCCTTGGTCGCAAAACCACTGCCGCCAGGTCCGCTATGCGAATAAGCGATAACGAATCGTCTTTAGAACGTTCAATTTGTCTGTCTCAAAATGCCTCTTGGAATGTTTCAATCAGAGCCACTGATTTCGAAGGTCAACGTAGGCATCGGTTTTCCAGAAGAGAATATCTGAATGCTTCTGCGAGAGGCTGAAAATGATGATCAAAGGACTCAACGGCTGAGGAGAAACGCCTCTTCAACTGCTGCTGTGCGTGGGGCTGAAACAAGATTGAGAACACAAAACGACCCTTTTCAGGGCCACCCCCATTCAAATTGTTAACCCCCATTTGGGGATCTACCTCAGTTGCACCCAATTGTTGTTACTAATATTAATTTTCGGGTGGGATGACTTTAAAGTTAAACTACTCCAATTAAACTACTCAAATTCCCAGTAATGAAAGAACCGGACAAAGACGGGTTATCTTGCTAGTTTTCAATAATAGTAACAACTAAAATGGTTAGCAGATATAACACGACGAGAAAATCATGACATAATACTTCAGAGAAAAGTTTGGGAAGGAAGCTGGTATGAACGTTAATAGATACTTAACTTGAGAAACCTATTTTCCTGGAAAATTATTTTAATCGAAAGTTTTTATAAATTTTAACTGACGATATTCAGTCACCCCCCCACGAGGGTGTCATGTGGCACAAGGCCTTTTTAACGTGGGCATTCCGAGCCCGTGGACTCTGCCAAAAATATGCCCATTGAACCCGTATAAACGGGTTCAGGGCCGATTTTCTAAGCCTGGCTTAGATGTGGCACAAGGCCGAAAGTTAGGGGGGTACCCAGTGAGGATCCAACTCACTACTCAGTTGTAATTGATCTAGCAAGACAAGCTTCCTAACCATTACACTACGTCGAGGTGCCCAAGATTTAAATTTTAACTGACAGTAGCAACCTCTCTTTGTTCAAGGAATAACGAAACGGTTAATATTACCATTATCAATAAATCGATTAAAAATAGAAAATAAAAATGATAGCCAACTGTTATCTCGTTTTCCAATTCATTTTTTTTTTTTCGTGATTCAACCAATTATCAATAACTCGCATTGTATTTTCTCTCGAGATTAGAACAAATGTGGTTTATTGGTCAGTTTTTTTTTCTACGATTATCGTTGTTTGATGACATTAGAAGTGTTTTTTATTTTTTAATTTAACTTCATACAAAGAGGATATTTATTTATTCTAAAGAAAGCTGTCATAATAGTGTTCATTTTGAAATAAACTACATTTCGTTAAATAAAATAGATTTTGTTAAAATGGATGTAAATTTGTTCATTGTTTCTAATAATGAAGGATAAGTCAGTGATATTTTCGGCATAGCTTTTTTTATTAACATGTAACTAAAACACACATACACACACAAATACATGCACAAACACACACGCACTCAGACAAGCACGCACAAAATTTGCTTGGTTTATGGAATAGTGATTGTCAGTAATCGAACAGATAAAAATATAAATTTATCGCTCGAGTAGATCAGTAGAGATTGGTAATGATTACTTTGATGGAATAGAAATTTTAGATATAGATATTTTTTCTCAGCTCATGTTTCGGAAAAACAAATTAAAAATAAACTACAAAAATTATTTATTTTATTGGTTAACGTAAAACCTTCTCTTAGTTTTATTAAATATATATATATATATATATATATATATATAGTACAAGTATTTATACAACCCACAGCTTTGTATAAATACTTGTACTAATGAACAAAATATAGTTTTGTATTACATGCACCCCTGAAAATTGTCTTGGAAAAAGTTCGAAAGTACTTGGGAAATCAAAATAAAAGAAACTTAAACAACTATAGCACATTTCTCTCATCCTTTAACATCAATACACGGAAGGTTATTCGTGAGTATGAACGGATTTTGTTAAAAATTAGCATGTTTGTAATTTATTCAATCAGGCATATCTAAAAGAGAATTTTCAGCCTAAATACACACACACACTTAATTGATTTAAAATATGGTTTGAAATGAAATGGAATTAATGTCTTTAATTTAATTACAAAATTAAAGTCGATGCTTTTAGCTTCCATTTTTGAAACATGGTTAGAACTGTATAGAGAAAAAAACATATTTTAAATCAATTAATTTATAATATTAATGCTCTGTAAATTTACATTGAGCACTATTTTGTAAAAATAAAAATATCTATAACAACACTGGATAATATATCTTACTGTTCTTTCTTTTATATATATATATGAAATTACTCAATACAGTAAATAGAAAATCTTAGAATATATTCAGCTTTTCTCATGACCGCACCTTCAAATTAATATACGTTTATCCTGTTAGTAAAGTGATAGCTGGGTTTTAAAAACAAAAAAGACTTAAAAGAAGAAAAAATAATAAAGAAAAGAAAGAAAGAAAGAAAGAAAGCGGTTTTTCCAAAACTGTTTTCCTGTACAGCAGCTGACGTCACTGACCCAGTATCCGGGTGCAGCTTTCGTATAAAAAACCGGCCGATGTATGGCGTTCAGACAGTCGTCGTCGGCTGCTGACCTAAATCCTGTCACATTGCGATAAGACGAAACGAGAAACACTGAATTCACAAAAAAGGAAAGAAAAGGTGAACGATAATTTAAAAGTGAATACAGAGCAGTAAAAAAAAAAAAAATTCTATACAGTGCATCAAAAGATATATAAATCTCGAAAAAATTTATGAAAATGTATTCGACAATTTCACTTTTGTCTTTGTTGGCTACTGTCGTAATGGTTGTAAGTCAAGATAGTGTTTCTGAGACACACTTACCAGGTGGAAACACGGCTGTTTTGTTCAAATGCGTCACTTTCCTGAACAGTGCAAATTTAGGTGTGACCCAGACATCAGAGCTTTTGCCACTAACTACATTATGCCACCCGAACATGGAGAAATACTACGATTGCATGTTGGCTGACGTCTACAAATCCAATGCGAGCATTGACATCCAAATAAGGAGCATTACGGATTTATCTAAAGCGAAAGGCGCCACACGATCACTATGTCAGAAAGCCGCGAAACTTAACAAAGAAACAAGATTCTGTAATGTCTCCTCTGCAAAATGTCAATCAACTTTCCAACCGCCCAAGAACATTAATCTGGATTCTCCCTTATTTTGCCAAGCGATAGAAGACAAACGCTGTACGTTTAATGAGTTTGCTAAATGCGACCTCCAAAGAACTATGCTCTGGGCGAAATACCAGAAGGAATCTCAGAGCATTGGTTGCTTATTAGCTGATCCGAAGTTCCAACTTATTCCTTCTTACGGCCCCGAAATAAAGTGCTATTCGTCCATCAATATCGATGATATAAAACGCACAGATTACAGCCAAATTTACGAGCGTTATTGCGAACAGTTTAACTATACAGAGGTGAGCAGTTGCGTAGAGGAAACTCTTTCCAACATTACGAGCGAGGAATTATGGGAAGACAAAGAATCTTATTTGAACAAAGCGAGAAAATTTGTCAATGACCGACAGACACTCTGCAGAAATATGACGACCCTGTCGAGTCTTAAATGCCTTAATCCTGCTCACAAGCCCGATGTTAGCAACTGCCAAAAGATGTTGTTCATTCAACTCGCTCCGTCTAATTACAGCATTTCAGATTACATCAAATATTATGGATACTGTGTTTGGACAATGTACTATAGCTGCAATATTGATTTCGGACTTTTAATTTACATTAACCTGATTTCTTATTTTGTATAAGGAAGACTAAATCGAAAGGAATTGAAACAAAAAAAAAGTGAAAAATTAATGAAATATGTATTTTTTATTTGCATATCAAAACAAAATCTCTCGTTGAACATTACTGATCGAACTGTTCCATTCTAAGAATTGCTTCTCCCAATTATTATGTTTAATTATGATACTTGTTATATTTTTTATATTTTTATAATAGTGTAAATATGTAAAAATAAATAAGTAACATTATAAAGTACAAGATAAAGTTTATTGTAAGATTCGACGAATTTCTCATGAGCATTGTGATTACCATTAATTTCTGACTTGTCTGTTTTCATTTTATTTATCGTCCTTATTTACATCGCGTAGTAATAAGACGCCATCGCGTAGTAATAAGATCGTCCTTATTTACATCGCGTAGTAATAAGACGCCATCGCGTAGTAATAAGACGCCATCGTCTTAATTTGTTAGGATATCCGAGATAAATCATAGTTATTTGACTCCTGTTTCTTTCATCATATTACAATTGATTTAAATCGCAATTCTCAGATCCTCATTTCTCAACCTCACAGAGACTCTGAAAAAAAAAAAAAAAAAAAAAAACGATCTATTGTTGTACATTTCTAAATATTTGAATAAACGATGTTTTTTTCTTAAAAGATTTAAAACTGTATTTTTAATTTCATACCTTTTATATATTCTTTTCTTTATCCGATGTCACCGTTTAGGTGCGAGGTATTTCGCAAAATAATTCCCTTGTCTTTCGAATTATTATTCTCACAGTATATTGAATATGGATCAATTCGTCGATGATTCTGAAGGTTAGAGAAAATAATGACTGTGCTGCAGCAGTTGATGAGATATATCCCCTTATTTGCAGATTAGCGTTTCAAAGTTGTCATGTATTTTACTGCTTTGTATCTTCCTTGTTTCAACTTCAGACAAAACATTTTTGTATAAACAATAAATCCAGGGAATGTGTCAATTGTGTGACCTGTTTTTTAGAATGCGGTCTAGCACTCTCACTTGTCACAATATCGACCTTATTAGCCTTCTTAGTGTCATCAGTAAACTCTTCGTATTCGTAATTAATCAGAACACCTAATCAGGAACAACCTGCTGAGTGGTAACTAGTACGGATTTCGCCTGGCTAGATTCACAGCTGATGGATTAACTGTCATTATTCACAGAATCAGCGAGGAACTAGTTAATAAATTCAACATGAGGTCCATTGTCGCTGTATATATCCATGGATATTCACAAAGTGTGGCACCGGGTGCTGCTACATAAACTCTCCAACTCATTGAGAATGACCTTCTACTCAATTATCAAGTCCTTCAAACATGTAGGTCACTGAAGTTTCGTTGTTAACGGCCAGTCATTGGAAGCGCTTAAGATCAATACTGCCGTGCCCATAAAAAAATAAATTATGGTGCCAAAAATAATTATAACAATTATAATTATCATTGATTCACGCGTTCTAAACCAATGACAAACGACACCACTTTTCTTCTCTGCACACGTAACATTCTCACTATCGCAATTCACACGGACAGGTCGTTAACACGCGCGTCAACGAAAATTTCATCTTTTTATTTTCAGGCTATAATAATAACAACAATCGCTCAACAGTTTTTTTAGGCAAGGAAACATCAGACACTTCTTGTATTTTTGTTAACTAAATTATCTGGACATTCATTACAAGCATCTATAAAAAAAAAAGAAGAAAAACATAGGAGAAATTATACACGTTGCCTGTTTTTATCTTATCCTTCTGTCGGATTCCGATCCATATTTGATCTAGATTTGACTTCAAACTCACAATTGTACTCAGTATTATTGTCTCTCGTTTCTATAACACCCCATAACTAGATAATAAATAATACTCGTTTTGTTGTTTCCACGTGTTGCTGTTTCTCATTCTTAGGAGTATTGTTGTATATATCCTATATATATATATATATATATATATATATATATAGGAGGTTTATAATTATTTACCATGTGTTAAAACTCCCCTACACTATCCTCTTTCTACTGTATATTAACGATCTGCCTAAGAGCACACCCGGTCATTTGTGAACAACAATGCAAATGATACAACAGTTTATAGGTGCATCTCCAAAAGCAAAATAATGAAATGTTGCGAACCACTCGCCGCTCTGCAGCTATTTTCCCCAAAATTCGTACACTGATGTAAGGACACGTGACCCAATGGATAAATGCGTTGGTTGAATCCGGAAACGACGCAGCGATGTGAGCTCAATACCTGTCTACATTTGAGGTAAGTTAAATTAATCAAGACCTCCGGAAGAGTCATGGCACGTTGAACTAGAACAATCTGTCCCGGTGGACGAAATAAAGGGTTCAGTTCGAAATTCCAATCACCTGAAGAAGGTCAGACCTTACAACGGTTGAAACGTCGTGAATATGGCAAAAAAGATGAGGACAACAGTTCGAACAATGTAAATAGTGTAAATTATATCTATCTCCCGATCTAATTTTAAGTTATTATATAATTAAATGTTTCTCTTTCTCTCCATATTATAACAGTTTATATCTGTCTAGCTCGCTAGCTAGTTTTAACATTTATTATCTATTTAAATCTCTCTCTCCTTTGCTCTCTCTGTATATCTGATTATAAGTTTATTAATATTTGTCTATCTATCAATCTAATTTTAATTGCTATTATCTATCTATTTAAATACCCCTCTCTCTTTCTCCCTACATATGTATATGATTATAACAGTTTATTAATATCTCTCTATCCCAGTTTATTCATATCCATCTATCTGACACAGTATTTATATTATAAACACGACAGCAAATTTAAAATGATTAAAAATCAATATTTTCCGATTGTGAAAATCTCGTGGAAAGCCAATCTAGCAAAAATCATGACTTCATTTTAAGAATAAGTAAAATTTCGTTATGAATAAAGAAAAGGGTAGTGAACTGTTATGTAATATCATCCCTCCTATATGGCAGTAGATGCTGAGCAATGAGGAAGAAACTTGACGCAATATAAATGTGGTTCTACAGGAGGATGATGAGGAAAATATAGACCAGAAAAATGAACAACGCCGAAGTTTTGCAGACAATGAAAACAAAAAGGACACTTATAATTTCTAGGGCACATAATTAGGAAAGAAGACTTGGAAACTTAGAGACACACTTGACAGATTGAAGGGAAGAGGGACAGAAGAAAACAACGCATAACAGTGAGCTTGAATAAGCAGATGGCGGAAAAAGATTTGAAAAGAGATAACGAAAAGACAAGATTGATTAAGTGCTACAAAGAACAGTAGATTGTGTGGAGCCGTGATCACTAAGGTCTTGAAAGGACATAACACAAAGAAGAAAAAAAATACACGCGCACGCTATTACTTAAGAAAAAAGGTGTAATATTCTATCGGGTAGAATATTTAATATATTGACGTGACCAGACAAGAATTGTGACAATATAAGGCTGAAATTTTAAGCGCCCAATGTATTAACCACTGCATACCGTAGATATTCGAATGTAGTACAAGTTTTATGACCAGATTTTACGCAAAATATAGGGGGTCGCACTATACACAAGTTATTATTTTGAAGAGGTTAACAATTATGCATTTTCGGTGACCGGTTGTATTATACAGAGGTATCTTTTTGCTGGAGGGGTTAAAATTCATGCAAAAAGTTCAGAGGTCGCACTATATATGAAGTCGGCTTATACAATGGAGAATATATAGTATTTATATTACCATTAATACCAATCATTACAAAAATCTCGTCATGAAAAAAGAAAAGAAAAGAAAACGTACACTGAAAGTCTGTAAAGACTATTAATAAAATAAAGATAAAAGATTCTCTTAGGACAGAATTTTGAAGATGTTTTAAAGATGACAGAAGAATGTGGAAAATATTGGCCAAAATAGGTAATATCGAAAAAGATCTATTTTTACTTAATAAACCAAATTAGGGTTTTACGCTAACCAAATAGAAAATCTGAAATGAAATCCATTGTTTTTTTTTTATGTCCATATATATATTTATATATATATATATATATATATATATATATATTCAAGTATGGGATAAGAACAAAGATGAAGGGGGGATCAAAATTTAATAGAGGGATGTTTTAAAGAGGGTAGTCAAAGATGGTTTAAGTGAGAGAAATAAATGTTCTCGGATGTCTAATACATTAAAGATGTAACCGGAAATGGTACATTTTGTGGTAACATACACACACAATAGACGATAAATTCCCCCCTCCCGCCTTCATCTTTAGACCTTCTTGTTCTTCTCTTGTTCTTCTCTCGTCTGTTACCCCTCTCTATAGCTTTCATTTACTCTAACATTCGTCCCACACTCTCATACTTACACTCCCACTAAATTCTATTTTTTATTCCCGGAGTTGTTTTTTCGGTTTTCTTTTTGAATTTGTAGGTCTGATGAATTGGATCGTATTTATGATTCCAATGGAATAAATTATGACCATGGAATAATACTGTTTAAGCGTTTTTATTATATTCTTACTCTGTCCTGGACATTGAGTTCTACCTGGATTCTATACTCTAGGAATTATTTTTTATACATATATATATATGTATGTGTATGTATGTATGTATGTATATATATTTATATATTTTAGATATATGATTGCATATATATGTGTATATTTACCACTAATATTATCTATATCTATCTATCTATCTATCTATCTATCTATATATATATATATATATATATATATATATATATATATATATATATAATGAATGAATGTTAGCTCCCTTCCATTACAAAAGAATTTATAGCTGATAACTCGGCACTCGAATATTAGATTAATAATTACATATCTTTTATGTCTATATGGTTGATGGAGTTGCTAGATTTAATGTAATATAATTAATTATTTGTTTTTTTTTGTTGTAAGTTTTTGAAAAAAATTCATCATTATATACATACTGCTTAACTACGACAGCATTACGATAAACTGATATAATTTCGAATTAGATTCGATTAACTGTCAGTAAACATTCAGCACCTGAAGACTGCCTGGCGTGACACTCCGATAATGCAAACTATTTGGGATATGTATATTAATATATATATATATATATATATATATATATATAAAATCTTGTACATTAGGGTGTCTTCTTTAGGTGTGGAAATTGCTTTATTTATTTGTTCCCTGATTAGGTGTTGTTTATAGCCACGTGTTGTGAATTGATGCTCCAGATTTTCAATGTGTTTATTTAATTCTTCATTGTTGGAACATATCCTTCTGAGTCTAAGTGCTTGTGAATAGTGATGGTGCTCTTTGTGGTGTTTAGGGTGGGAAGACTTAAAGTGTAGATAGTTGTGGGTGACGGTGATTTTAGTGTGTAGTGTCGTTTGTAGTTTCCTGTTTTCATCTATGTAAATGCGGGTGTCTAAAAATGTTACTGATGTTGTGGATTTTTCATAGTCGAAATTAATTGAGTCGTGCACTCTGTTTAGGGTCATAAGGAATTGGGTAAGTTTGTCACCACTACCCGTGTATACAAAGAATATATCATCGATGTATCTTGCATAGAATACGCAGTCGCTAATAATGACTGGATAGATATGGGTCTCCTCAAATTTTCCCATGAATATTGTAGCATATGATAGAGTTGCAATAGTGCCCATGGCACAACCTCTTATTTGAAGGTAGTGTGCTCCATTGAAGTTGAAAGTATTCAATGTAAGGACATGCTCCATGAGTTTTATGGTGACTTCTGTGTGTGTGTGTGGGGGGGGCTTGTTTTCTTTTTTTAGTAAGTGCTTCCAGAAGAGCGGTTAGCCCTTCGATGTGTTTAATGTTTGAATAGAGTGACCTAACGTCCATAGTCACTAGAATAGCATTCTCTGGAACTGTTTGTATGTGATTAATTTTGTTCAGTAGATCTGTTGTATCTCTGATGTAGGATTTTACTTCCTTAGCGGTTGTATGTAATGGTCTATGTATTTGGAAATTTTTGTCGTGTGGCAGTTGAACGATGATATAACCGGCCTTCCTGGGTTGTTGCTTTTGTTTATTTTAGGAAGAAGATGGAAACGAGCAGGTTTAAGATTTGTGGGTGTAAGTGTTGTGCATGTTTCCTTGTCGATTAGATTGTTGCGAAGCATTATGTTTAGTGAGCTAGTTAATTCTTTTTGGTATTCGGGAATTTTTTTCTGTAGTTTTCTGCTACCAGCAAGCAGAAATATTTCTTCTCCTGATGATGGCCATTTTGGCCGAAACTAGTCGAGGAATCTAAATGAAATAATAATAAAAAAAACGAAAGAATATTAATCTACAACCCAGTGTGTCTGAAGATTTTAATTTTTAATATTTTGTTATTATTTCAATATATATATATATATATATATATATATATATATATATATATATATATATACTTGATAGCTCTGTTATATATCATTCATTTTGTGTGCCTGTTATTATAATACCTACAATTTATATATAATGATATATATATATATATATATATATATATATATATATATATATATATATATATATATGTATGTATAAGTATTCATTTTTGTTCTGGGACGAGTGTAGTGCAAATATTGTAAATAAACAAAAGAAAAAACCGGATTCCCCCAACTACTTCCTGTCCTACAGACATCTCAGCTGACGCCAGTCATACATCTATCCAACCAAATATGTTATTGTTCTATCTCTGATATTGAGCTTTTTAATAAGTACGCATATAATATTTATAAATAATTATACATATATATATATTTATTTATATTTATATTCACTTTTCCATATATATATATATATATATATATATATATATATATATATATATATATATATATATATATATATATATATATGGACACTGAATGACTGGCGTCATCTGAGTACAGTATATTAATATTAACATTCGAAAGTAATCGTAGGAAAACAAAATCTGTGTTTGTGTGTGTAAGTGTAGATATATGTATACATGTATTACAAAAGCCGATGAAAATACTAAAAACAGGCTAGTCTAAGGAGCTGAAACAAAAGTCAGCTATATAAGCTAAATCCTGTCACATGGTGAAAAGACAAGTGGCGAGACACTGAAATCAGGAAGGTCGATTTGCAGCTTTTCTAAGATAATAGTGAAAAAAATATCACGGACACAAATAATTTGAACAGAAATAAATTTGTAAATGAAAGGAAAAGTATCTAAAAAGATGTATACGAGAATTTTATTTTTCCTGTTGTGTTTGACAACTATTGCAATGGTGGCAAGTCAAGATATCACTTCTACGAAACAAGGAGCAAATCAAAGAAAATCGGTTGCTTTGAAATGTTTCAATTTTTTCCTCAGCAGAAATTTATCTGAAACTGTGCAATTTAGTCTTCTGCCACTAAGTACGATGTGTCACCCGAACATACAAAAATACTACGATTGTATGGTGCCAGCTATGTATAAGTCCAACTCTGTCATTGACATCCATTTAAGAAGCCTCATGGATTACTCCAAAGTGATCCCCGCAACGCGATCACTGTGTCGGAAAGCCCTGAAACTTAACGAAGAAATTCCCCACTGTAACGTCTCCGTTCAAAAATGTCAAGTAATTACTAAACCATTCGAAGGGATGAACCAAGATTCTCCCTTATTTTGCCAAATGACAGGAGACAGACGTTGTACGTTTAATAAGTTTGCTAAATGCGACCTCCAAAGAACTATGCTCTGGGCAAAATTCTACAACGAATCTCAGAGCATTGGTTGCTTATTAACCGATCCGAAGTTCCAACTTATTCCTTCTTACGGCCCCGAAATAAAGTGCTATTCGTCCATCAATATCGATGATATAAAACGCACAGATTACAGCCAAATTTACGAGCGTTATTGCGAACAGTTTAACTATACAGAGGTGAGCAGTTGCGTAGAGGAAACTCTTTCCAACATTACGAGCGAGGAATTATGGGAAGACAAAGAATCTTATTTGAACAAAGCGAGAAAATTTGTCAATGATCGACGGACACTCTGCAGACATATGACGACTCTGTCGAGTCTTAAATGTTCAAATCCTGCTCACAAGCCCGATGTTAGCAAATGCCAAAAGATGTTGTTTTTACCACCCGGTCCAACAAATTACCAGATTTCACACTACCTCCAATTCTATGGATATTGTATTTGGTTTACCTACATTCCTTGCAATTTTAATTTCGGATTTCTCATATACAGGAACATGATAACTTATTAAAAAAAAAAAAGTGTTTTTGTATGGGATAACGGAAATATGTTGGATGAAAAAGAGAAGAAAAATGTAAAGATGCAAAAATATTAGTTGAGACATGGAAAAAGAAAGAAAAAATACGACATTACAAAAAAAACAGTAAAGAAATGAAAATATGAAAACGTTTACACACATATGACACAAACACACACACACACGCAAAGAAACGCATAAATACAGACACAAACTTATACACACACACAAACACACGCACAAAAACACTCACGCACACATTTTGTTTTCCCCGATTACTTTCGAATGTGGCGACAAGAGTTTTCAAGGATTGTTCCGTGTTTATCTACGCTACTGTTTTTAATTATCTATCTATCTATCTATCTATCTATCTATCTATCTATATATATACACATATTTTAATTATCTATCTATCTATCTATCTATCTATTTATCTATCTATCTATATCTATATATCTATACGCTACACATTATTTATCTATCTATCTATCTATCTATCTATCTATCTATCTATCTATGTACAGTTTTTTAATTATATATATCATATATATATATATATATATAGGATCTATTTTTATTGTTATCTATCATTTTTTATATATATATATTTATACAGTTTTTAATTTATCTATCTATCTATCTATCTATCTATCTATCTATCTATATATATATATATATATATATATATATATATAGTTTTATATTATCTATCTATCTAAATTCACGCTACAGTTTTTTGTTATATATATATCTATCTATATTCACGCTACAGTTTTTATTGTTATATATACATATATATATATATATATATATATATATATATATATATATATATATATATATATATATATATATATATATAATGATTAATTGCGTATTGAGAAAGCCTATTAACTTTCCATTACATTTGAACATTTATAAGGAAAAAATTGTTTCTTAAACATCATTTTCTTCTGGTAACATTAAAAAATATACGTGGGACAAAAATTTTCACGAACTATGGCAGTTTCTTATCTATCTATCTATCTATCTATCTATATATATATATATATATATATATATATATATATATATATATATATAGATAGATAGATAGATAGATAGTAAAAATAGAAAAATGAAAAAGTATATACCATATTGTAAAAACATTAGTTATCTCCAAATTATGTTTTTTCATACAAATTCATATAAAAAATGTCATAATTATTTGGTAGTACATTGTCACCATACATTTTTATAGTCTTTCTTTTGACTTTTATCACATCTTTTAAATGATTAACATACGAGCAGAAAACAGATACTGTGGGGGGGGGGATCTTGACAATACCAGGTGCTGTAAGGTTGGACGGTTCGTAATTGTTCAGCGGACAGCCCAGTTACAATTTCCGTTGGTTTCGTCATATTTATTACGGCGTCAAAGTATTAATAAGTCGTAGAAAAAGAACCACTCATTCAGTTAAATTTGTATCTTAATAAAAGTTAGGGAATTGTTGTTTTTTTTTTACGGCTTATCATCCTTAATTAAATCCTGAAAATATTTTTTTAGATTCTAAGATTTGTCTGGTGATATTAATGATTTACAGATGCAAGTACTAATAATTCATCCATGTATGGCGATGTGAGAGCTGGATTCATACCTTTCCCAAGCGCATTTGCGCTTAAGTGAATATAACTAGAATTGGTACTGACCAGTCTCGACGTAGCTTAACTTCAGTGATCGTAGAATTATATTAATTTTTAAGTTTTTTTTTTAGTTTTTCTATTTTAAATACACATTTACTTCGCTATTCTCTGTTCTTATTTTCTGAAACATGACCTATAGAATTTTCCTCATATAAGTCATATTAAGTAATGAATGTGTTGCAGCAGTTGACGAGATATTTCCTCGATATGACGTCATATGATTTCAGTGATTTAAACTTGCATTTGCCTCATGAATTTAACTGAAATTTTAATTGCTTTTCTTTTGTATTTTTCTTTCTGTTTTTTCTTACTTTTTCTTTCAGTTGCTTTTTTCGCCTATATTTATATATGTTACAATTAAACTACTCACAATTAATAAAGGATGAAAATTTTCGCAGATTTTGACGTCATTCTGAGTTTTCTTTTGTCGTCCATTTTCTCTAATTTTTTTTTTTTTTTTAAATGTGTTAACACGACATTAGTATTATGAACCCATAAGCCGTTTGCCTTACGATTCCTTAGATACATTATTTATTTTTGAATTAGGATTCATTAAAAAAACATTTGGGCATCCAAAATACGAAAAATAATAAATTGTTATTTTCTTTTTATTACAGTCGATATACATTATTAAAGAAACGTTCATCAAAGAAACTTTTTTAAAAATTTTAACTAAATACAAAATAATAACACAATTGTTATAGTGGAACACACCTATTCTATAGTTAATAGACTCTCCCAGCTATAATAAGTAGGTAAGAGTAACAAGTGAGGCCTAAGTGGTTCGGGCAGTCAGTCGATGCCGAACAACCGTTATTCGGATACTAAAGTATCAGCGACCACAACTAGATTACTCTGCGTTATACCTATTATATCAAGTTCCTAACGTTTTGTACGTCGAACCTATTTTAGGACCGACTTAATACAAATACAAGCCTCCACTTTGAAACCACTGCACAGCAACAATGAAGACCGATAATTTATTTTTTAAGTCGATATACTTTCTTAAAGAAACGTTCATTAAAAAACTTTTTGCAATCCGAAATAAATGAAAAGTAAGAACAATGAAAACTGATATTTTCTTCATCTCAAGAAACTATAGGTTCTATTATTTTCATTAAATCATTTCTTTTTTTTCCTTAACAAACTATTTTATTAAAGCAGACATTTTCATAAAGATAATATCAGTTTTATTGTATTTTAATATTTAAGATTAAACGTCATTATTCATAAATAAATGTATTGACGAGGTAATGTTTATTCATAAAAATGCAGTATATATTTATGAGGTAATCTTTTTTTTTATTAAGTTTTATATTAGATGCATTTAATTTAATTATACAGATTATTATTAGATAATTTTATTAAAATGATTAGTAATATGATAAGTAATATTAAAATTTCAATTATTTAATAAAAATATAATTTTATTAATTTTTCTATTAATGTATTTTGCTTGTAGTCTGCATTTGTTCGGTCCCTAAGATCCTTACCTGTTTTAATTAAATGAAATTATTTAGTATTAAATCAATTAATGAATAAGTACATAAAATTTCATTTGAATCGGATAATTCTCTTAAATAAAAAAAATGGCCTGCTTTAAATAATTTTCAAATTACAACCCGCCTTGTTGAATTTGGAAGATGAAGAAGATAATAGTAATAATAATATCATCATCAACAACAACAATAATAATAATAATGATGATGATAATGATGATGATGATAATAATAATAATAATAATAATATTGTGTCTTGTCTCATTGCTAGTTCTCCGATAGAAATGAGTGATTCATGCTTTCTTACATGCAAAAAAAAAAAAAAAAAAAAACAAAAAAACAAACTGCTTCAAGCTGGAATTTGAAGCCTACTAACAAATAACCAATCATGCCTCCCTTTTATTAGGATTTAATCAATAAAATCAATAAATATTTCTGTAAAACACTTATTAAAAATTACATTTTTTACGGAAATTTCATACGATATTTTGCAGTTGTTGCATGAAAGTTTAAGTTAAAAATATATTTAAAAAAATACAATAGAAAATAACTCAAACCTGGTTAAGATCAAAGCTGATAAATCAGTTCTCTTCTTTGAATTACACATTTATCCCTTAAACTTGAATTTTTATAGAAATAATACTCAATTTTTATGGAGTCTTGGCTTCATCTAGAAAAGATTGGAGCTAAAGTTTTCACACGTAGCTAAGAAGTCCAAGACTTTGACACCAGTCCTTTGATTTTGATTTTTAATGACTATTTTGTCTTTGTTTTTTACATGTAAGTTTGAAAAAGAATGAGATGATAATGAAAGAAAAGGTAAAGCTATAAATGGTGGGTGGAGAGATGCAATGCCATAAAATGAAAGAATAACAAAAGATTTTTGGATATTGGAATTGTCACATTTTCTATTTTCAAAGTCTTATAGAAAAAATATCTCAGTTGTCTCTTGACAAACTGAAGGAAAATTCTTATAGAATCCATAGGGCCTTTACTTTTAAAAATATTGACATTACTTCAGCATATAAAGTACAGACAAACCTCTCATCTACGGACCCCCCCCCATTTCAACGAACCTCGGATGCAACGGACAAAATCCGCAGGCAAAATAAAAATAATCTGCTGGAAAAAAACAAAAAACTTCCAAATCGTCAGTGATGCATTTCAAAATTTGCGGGATTAGTGGAACGAATCGTATTAGTTCTAAAAGTGACTGCTTAGCCCCGGTGGCGGGCCCTTCAATTGTAAACAAAGATGAGTGTACAGTATATAAAGTACGATACATTAGCGCATGCGTTAGAAAGTAGCTGTGAGAAATCTATGAATTTTGTTAGTGTGATTAATATATCTATATTAAGTATATATTTATTTGTCATATATACATGTTTATATTATTTATATTATGATCATAACTACTGGCAGTTACTATAGTGGTTTTATAACTAAAAAAAAATCCCTTCCCATCTACGGAAAATCGGCTTTAACGGACTACCCATCCTCACTATTAGTCCGTTGATGAGAGGTTTGTCTATAAGTGTTTTGTTTTTTTTGCTCTTTTTTGGGATGTATGTCAGCATTTATTTTTATACCAAACGTTTTAATCTTTATATAAAAAAGTTTAAGATTAAACTTTAGAACTATTACAAATTACTATTATATTTACAACGGCATCTTATAGGTATGAAAAGATATAAAAGTGGATGACAGAAACGAAAAGTGAAAGAGCAGATTACAGCAACAATAGACGAAATTGTGCATTTCATTGCAGGTATTGCTTACTACACCAGTGACTGTTGCAGGTGTTGAAAGAAGTTTCAGCAAACTAAAACTTTAAAAAAACAATTATATGCTATGCACAATGAGAGATAGATGAAGGTTATCAAGGTGTGCAACAATTTCCACTGAAAATGAATGTGCTCCATAATGTCGATTGTGATCAAGTCGTGAATACTTTCTATCATAAGAATTTAGAAATAGAAAACACTATATAAATATCACAATTTTTTATCCATAATTTTGAATGTGTTAAAATTATTCAATTTTTTAACCAGAAAAATCTCAAGGTGTCGCAAATCATTGTTGATTTTTTTAGGATGGAATTATTTATTATGACATGTCTCTAATTTGTATTTAGATACATTGTAATTATTTTCAGTTTTTGTAGTTGAATGATTCACCTATATGGCATATGATCCATTATTGTACATAATTAAGTTGCAATAAAATTTGTAATTTTATATGAATACTACCTTCTGAAAATTGAGATGTAGTCAACTTGGGGACCTGTATCATGTATGTTCGGAGAGGCACGATACCCATGCACGTACGGGCACGCGCACACATACATACATTGATCTGTTCATTATCTATCTATCTATCTATCTATCTATCTATCTATCTATCTATCTATCTAATTCTTCTGCTGTAGCACACTATTTCCGACAAAGCACATTTTCAGAACACACCATAAAACCAAAGAAAATACCTCTCTCTCTCTCTCTCTCTCTCTCTCTCTTCTATATATATATATATTTATATATATATATATATTTTAGATAGATATAGATATGAACGGATAAAGGCGAATTTAAGCGCATTTATTTTTAGATAAACACACAGATTGACAAGGTTCTGCGATTAAGCTTTTTATTTAATTTTTCTTGTGTTCGTACAAGTGGTTTATATATCTATATATATCTATATCTATCTATCTATCTATCTATCTATCTATCTATCTATCTATCTGTATGTATGTATATATATATATATTAGTTTAGCACTGTAGCTTTTGTCATGGTCTACAGAAAAACGCGCCCGGTTTGTCCAGGCAACGTGCATCGACATTCCTGTGTCAGTTTGTTCTCACGCATTCATTAGCCGACATTTTCAGTCAATAAATTTGTAATTTTTTTCGCCTAAAGAGAAAGTAATCACTAAGACATTGAGATGTTGCTTTTTTTCTTTTCTCTCACCATTTTTCCCTTTCCTTTCTCCACTTTCTGTCTCTCTCTGTCTGTCTCTATCTGTCTTTCTCTATATCTATCTCTCTCTCTCTCACACACACACACACACATATATATATATTTTTGTTAATCGCATTTATTCTCGCATGTTTTAATAATATTGTTTTCAATTTTTTTCGAATTGCCTTCTTTTTTCCTTCATTATTGCTTTAACTTTCAATATTTGTAGTGCTATTATTTGTCTTAATGTTGCCTGACTTCTTTTTGTACTAGTATAGTACCCGTCAAAAATATCAAACAGACCGATGGTAATATTAGCCATTTCCTTATAAGAAAAAAGTTGACATTCATTGACCGCCAGTATTGAATAAACACTTTCTCTTAAACCAATTTTCCAGGAAAATAGGTTTCTCAAGTTCAGTAGGTCTTTTCAGTATTAATGGGGCGGGCGGGGGTCTTCCTTCCTAACCTTTTTATTAGAAGTAGTGTGGAACATCATTTTGATTATGTCATTGTTTGCTCTTCGAGTTACATGTTCTATCATTTTAGTTATTTGCTGTTGACGAAAGTCGTCAAGTGATGCCGTGTCTGTTATTTGGTACAATTAATTCATATACAACCTGGCCGTGGCCTTAAAGAGGCAACCAAACCAATGATGATTAACAATGTCATTGATACAAATGGCAAAACTCTGGAACAGTTTCATATCAATTGGCGGATGTTAGTGCTGATACAAATGCGACTCGTGTATGTAGGACTTGTGGCAAGGCAAAAGAAAAAAAAAAAGAAGCCATGTTCGATCACAACACCATTAAAAAATGTCTTGATTAATGAATGTCATACGGCTATCACACTCAGTAACGATAGGGTAACTAGCTTTTCATCTATGTATATGTTGAATTAATTTATTTTGAAATTTTTAACCGAATGTCGTTAAACAACTGAGAGTTAATTTAGTTATTACTCGGATATTAATTGCAGAAAATAACATACAATAAAATTTGTTTTATATATATGATAAAGCGTTGATTAAGTTGATAAAGGGTTGATTAAGTTGATATGAGGAAAAGTTGCTGTAATTTTTGATATTTTCATTCTTGTGACGTCGGGGTTTGTTAAAAAATCCACTACGATAATTTTATCAGCCCATAAATAGACAATTGCCCTTCTAATAGACTGGTTGCTAAGCTAAAGATCACATATATTTAAACTAGAAAAGACGCATTCTAACCTTTGTAATTCACTATGAATCAACATTTTAGTTTGATTAAAGATTCTACAGTTGATATTCCATTATGTTAGATTTTAACTTATTTTCTGCAAATAGCATCATGATTTGTTTAAAATTTTGGGATGAGGAGTTATTTACACTATTTAGACTTTTTACAGTAATTCACACCATGTCCAAAACCCGAGAGCCACTCGAGGTAGATGGTTACATAGTAAGAGGCACATTTTATGCGGCTATGTGGCGAAGATAAGAGTTAACCCTAGATTTGAACAGGTTAATGTTGTAGTGATCGGGGAAGTGTATTAGTAATTTTGTTATTGGGATCATTATTTATATTCCGATGCTAATAGCTGTTGTTATTAAAACAATTAATTCCCTTAATAATAATTGCAGTATTACGATGATTATTATTACTCTCTTACTACGTTGAAATCAAGGCAATAATTACCTGGATTGAAAATGGATACTATGCTGTTAAAATGATGATGGCGACCTGATTAAATCGTCGTTAACAGAGGAGGTAAATAAATAATTAATTAATAGATAATTAATTAAACGTGAACGGGAGAAATAACCAGAGCTTATATACGCACACAAGCTGAGCACCTCGAGTTGGTGTAATGGATAGCAAATTTGTCTCTAAAACAATTACGAACGAGTAGTGAGTTCGATCCTCACTGGGTGTCCTTTACATTCGGCCTTGTACCACACCCAAGCTACGCTGGGAAAATCACTACATACGCGCACAAATGTTCGCAAATCGTTGAAAGCATTTTTAGGCGGTACAGGAAGTAACGATTTGTTTTTAGATACGGAATAAAAGTGCATTTTAATTATTTCTTTTTATTTTTAAAGTTAGATTTATTTGCCAAGAAATAACATTTATTATTGCCAGTCATAAAATAATCCCGATATGAAAGTTATTATTTTATTCCTTGTTGCCCAACAAAAAAATAAAATTAAAAAATATTTTCAACGAGAAATCTATGTCAACCACTCATTCTAACTTCCGCCAGATATCTTGGAGATTAGTCGATAACTATGACAGGTTTCGTCTATATGACAATCCCACAAGAAGTCAAGTGTATCAGAGGAGTTATTTAGAATTTGAGACGGCTGTTGAGTGACCATTTATGCAGAAAAGTGGCGGTTGTTGGTCTGCGACTATACTATTTTAGTAAAGGGAATGTCAGTTCAGTCATGTGCCATGCATAATACACGCTGGGGCGAGCATGGATCTTTTGATACATGACTGGCGAGGCAAATTTTTTTTCTTTCTGCGGTAGACCAGTTGCCATCCAAGGCTATAGAACCCGGTAGCTAGAGAGAGAAGAAGAGGATTCATACCTTTCTCAAGTGTATTAGCACGTAATTGAAAGCAATGGATTCAACTGGAATTCGAACTTGGCTCTCCGATTCCTCAGTCCGAACCGCTATCCTTTACTCCACCGTGCCTAGTAACGAAAAATAACCATAACTAAAGAAAAAACGAACTCCTTACGTTGGGAGGGACCTACCTCAGTACCTCTATTTAATAGATTAAACCCTTTCAGATTTACATTTAATCATATCACTGTATTTCCTGTTGTAGGAAAGATTTTTATTTTTAAAATCACATTCATCCCAAGCAAAGCAGCAAAGCAGCTGAGAAACATTAATAATGAGCGAGAAAAGGAAAGAGTAATAGGGAGGAATGTAGATAGCAATTGACATTGCATTTAAATTTTTGAAGATTAAAGTTGGCTGGAGAGCACAAAGCCGTAAGGGAGTTCCACAAGCGAGAAAAGAAACTGTTTAGCATATAATTTACGTTTATATCTAGCCAGTTGTAAATTGGTGAGATCTCGTTGCCAGACGAGAACTGTGCTTAAATTGAAAGAGTCTAGGCACCATAGCGAAGAGCGATATTTATTCCACATTATGTACAGAAATGTGGCGCAAGGCCAAATGGTGAATGGGCAAAAAGGATGGTCTTCTGTCTTAACATTAAACTTATCTAGCCAATGATAGCGAAGAGCTCATCCGAATAATTACCATAAAATTATTTATAGAAAAGTCGAAGAGAGGCATCATTATGGTGTTGGGAAAGTAACTGAAGCCGAGGCGCCAGATAAAGACCAATAATATTGCTTATTCTTCTTTGGATTTTATCAAGAAACTCTAAATAAATAGCAGGAGCACCGGACCATATATGGCAGCAATATTCTAAGCATAGACAAATGGTAGATTTATAGATATAAAAGATTCTGAAGAGAAAAATCGTCTTGCACGACACGGTAAACAAACTTCCCTAGCAGCTAACCCAGTAATGGATTCAATATAGTCTTTTCACTTCACGTGAGCCGAGAACATTAGCCCATGAAGGCGCAACGAGTCACTCTCTTGGAGGTCAGCATCAGCCATAGTGATGGAGGGTTCTATCAGATGATTCATAGAGAGCTCTTTAGTTTTAGAGGCGTTAAAATTAACGAGCCGGACGCTTGTTTTGGATATCAACTACTATTTTGACCTTCAAAGTGATCAAACTTACTATGGAGACAGTAGAAAATAGTTGCGTCATCAAGTTCAGAGCTGATGTCATCGGGAATGTCATTAATGAAAATCAAAATCAAAGTAAGACCAAGGATGGAGTTTTTTTTGTGTGTGGGGGCACCTGCATTATTACGAAAGCAACTGGAAGAGTGGCCATTCAATTTGGCATTATTAGAATTCTTTTCGCTCAGAATAAGTGATTATTTGAAAAAAAAAAAACCCCAAAACCCCGAAAGACGAATAAGTTTAGCGTTGATATTTTGTCATCGATAATAATGACTGATATTCTTAACGCATATTCGTAAATAATTTTATTATCTACAATGATGCAAGATTGAATTATGAAACAAATCATCATAAGATGGATTATATATAAGGATGTTTCATTAAGACGGATCAAAGTCAGCAGTAAATAAATCAGTGTTATTGGTGTAAAGTTAGTGATTTCTCTATAGGATCATGTTATTTAAGTTATAGCAATTATGTAAAAAAAAAAATATCGCCCAAATGAACGCCAAATCTGAAAGAAAAAGAAAAAATTCATTAGACGCTTAAACTTAATTCACATTTAAAATCGGTTCAAGTTATTGGCACACCCTTTACGATGTGCATCCTTAAAACATAATCTGGTGTTTTTCATTCATATATTACTATCGATTACGCACTCCATATTACGAATATCAAAAAAGATATTTTTATATTTTAAGAACATATATGATAATACTTGTTTCGGTTTTTTATGAAACAATTTAAAGGATGTTTCATTAAGACGGATTATATATGTTGTAGCCTGTATAGTGGCCAAAAAGAAAGACACGGAAGACGAAGGTAGATTGAACAAGTATATTGAAGATATATACGAAGCAAACTTCTCCTCGGTATTTATGAGAGGAGGAAGAGTTCATTCTACTGTAGGAGGGTTTTACCACAACAATATATAAAGGTGTTTCATTAAGACGGATCAAAGTCAGTAGTAAATAAATCAGTGTTATTGGTGAAAATTTATTTATTTCTCTATAGGATAATATTATTTAAGTCATGGCAATTACGTGTAAGAAATAATACCGCCCAGATGTCCGCCAAATCTGAAAGAAAAAGAAAAAAATCATTAGGCGCTTAAACTTAATTCACATTTAAAATCGGTTCAAGTT